ACCCAATAGCTGGGTTTGTCCCTTTTTAACCCAGCGCTGGGTTATATTTAACCCAGCATTTTTAAGAGTGTATATCTTTAAAAAACTGTACTTCTAGATAATATAATATTAATGAAATAAAAGGTCACTTATGATAGACACTTTCATGACTTAAGTACACTTTTAAAGTCAAAGGATAATTTTTTATTAAAAGTACATTTTAACTTTAGTCGAGCTTTAAAGAAGTATACTTATTTTGATGTTGACTAACATACTAATGGACATGTACTTGGTAAATGGCTGCTTTTATTGTCCTCATTTGTAAGTCGCTTTGGATAAAAGCGTCTGCTAAATGACTAAATGTAAATGTGTGTCTTACCATTTATTTTTTAAGCATTGATGACTATATAGATATCTGTGTTACATATCAAACAGTCAGTCAAACTGTAATCTGTAATCTAGGACTTTACGTTAATTTGAGCATGTGCACTTGTAGTGTACTTCAAATCTTTAGTACACTCTAAAAAATGCTGGGTTAAATATAACCCAGCTAGACACTTTCATGACTTAAGTACACTTTTAAAGTCAAAGGATAATTTTTTATTAAAAGTACATTTTAACTTTAGTCGAGCTTTAAAGAAGTATACTTATTTTGATGTTGACTAACATACTAATGGACATGTACTTGGTAAATTAACTGTAGTGTGTTATTTAATATTACATTTAAACTTAATATAATCTACATGTACTAAACTTCATCAGTACAAATAATTAGTCATATATTTAAATATATGAATGACTCAGATTTCACTAGAAATTACATTATAGTATATTTTTTTGGTCATAAATGCACATTCAGCAGTACAATTTAACCATATTTCAAAGACAATAGAATTACGAAATGACATATATAAAGACGCACTTAAGTCCTATTTAAGTGGGTTTAAAAAGCACTTTAAAGTCCAACTAACTGCATTTACAGTAAACTTTTTTTATATATATATTATTATATATAAAAACATTATAATTCAGTTCACACGTAATTATAAAGTATATTATTTCCGTAATAAGTACTTATTTCAAAAGTATGCTGAAGTGTACTTCTTTTTCACTATAGGGGTTATAATACATTACAACAGATTTTCCGGATTTAACCAGTTTTATGACCGTTGGGGCGAGTCTTTTTACTTGTGTGCTTTATGAGTCAGTAATCACTCTTGTCTACAGCAAATCACATAAAGGTCTTAAACATTGCTACAATTTAAAACGGACGTCATCATTAAAAATACCACTGAAATATTCAGCATATTAGAATGACACTATTGATTGAGTCCACAGTCAGAGTTTCTCTCTGGGTAGCTCTGTGTCCTCCTCTGACTTTCGTTCTCGCATGATTTGCTGTGTACATCATTTTGAAAAACTCCCAGAGCTGATGCCAAGAGTTCAATCAGCTAAATTAGTTATGCAAATCTGGAACAATAGGCCTCTTCATTTTTCCACAGTTTGTCCAGCGTAGAGTTTATTTATTCTGTGCAGCATTGGGGCCGATCTCACTCAGGATATAGAGCACTGATTGCCATGGCTGGCTCTCAAACAGCACAAAGCACTGTGTGTTGAATGCTAACCCAGACAGGGGTGTTTCTTGTCATGGATACTTAGAGACTTTCTAAAAGTTGTGTTTCACTCTCTCTCTAAAAAAATTTTTAAAAAAAAACTTTCACCATCTGCGTCTGTTTGCACCTTGTGTGCCTCATCCACCTATGAACAGATGGTGTTTAGAGAGATAAACTCTTGTAGATATTGTAATCTGAGATTTTATGGGTGTACCTGTGGACTTTTATTTTACAGCAGGTTACATATTAACTGTTTGCATGGTTATAGCATCATATTCATCACGGGAAATATGTGAGAGTGGAATTTTAATTGCTGCTGAGGACAAATGAGGCTTCAGAGAAGTGCCAAAGATTGTGGCTATTTTTAAATGGTAGTTCCTAGTGCCCATATTATGTTCATTTACACATCATAATTTTACTTTTGGGCTCTGCTAGAATACATTAACATGATAAAAAAAAAGAGATAAATTCTCATACTGTATATTGCTGCAGCACCTCTTTTCACTCTCTGCCTGAAATGTTCTGTTTTAGTTATGTCTCTTTAAAGCCCTTCTTAAAAGCCAAGTCTGCTCTGATTGGTCAACTGGCCCAGTTTGTTGTGATTGGTCAACCACTTCGAGTGTTTGTCGGAAATCCATTTTCAGCTCCCAAGGCTTCATGAGAAGCTGTAAATAGTATTATTATATACAGTACGGCATCAGTATTGCTGTACCAGTTTGAGCCAGAGTCCGATAATCACTTATCCAGCTGTTCTTTGAGGGCAGGCCAAATCAGCCAGTAGGCGGCCATTATGCAAATATGTAACTTTGGTGAGGTAGCAAAGTCATAAAAATAATGGCAGCACTACAAACGAGGCGTTTCAGGTAAGTATTTTCTGCTGGAGAGATTCACTTTATTATGGACTTTATGCTTCGTAACTCTTTAGATAGTTTACATGCACAAACAGCTGTATTACTTACTAAAGGAAAGGTAAAATCAAAAAAGCATAATAGGTGCACTTTAAAGGTCCACTGAAGTGCTTTGAAACACGCACCGTTATTCTATGTGTTGACGTCGGTTTAACTGAAACAGGAAGACAGGGCGGGACATATAAAGCAGCCCCACCCCTTTTTAAAATAGCCAATAGCATTCGTTTATATCACAGCTGACTAGCACAGCAGCGCCGTTGTTGTTGAGCTCGGTAAACTAAAGCTGCATTTGACAGGGTATGATAGCCACACATCTCATCCATATTGCTATAAAATATACCATTCGGAGTAGAATTCAAATGGGTCCGATATGTTTTGTGGTCTGCGCCGAGTGTGTGCGCAGTGCATCAGTTAGCATGACATAGCGCCAAACCAGACTTCTTTTTCCTCAATGGAAAGCATATTTACACTGTCTGAATCGTTCCCTATCCCCTATATAGTGCCCTACGTGCCATTCACCGTACCGAAAATACAAATCCCGTGAACAAGTGACCGATCTCAGCTGGCGCTTCAGTGTCTATTTATAGTGTAGGGGGCGGGCTCTTCATATTCCAGAGAACATTTGATTGGCCAGAAGATTTGATGAGAAGCTGAAGTACGAGGTGACGTCAAAAAACTCGTTGATCCATTTTGGTGGAAGTGACGAACTGCAAGCTTTGAATGCTTATATCTTCTAAATGCGAATTTTGTCACTGTTTTGGAGCACACTGGCTTATAGATGACCTTAAGACTAACATATTGATACTAACACCCAAAAAAATTAATTTTGATTTCATGGGGACTTTAAGGCCTGTTCAGACCAAGAACGATAACTACAACAATAACCTTAGATATATTAAGATAGTCCACACCAATGGACGTCCTGCTTACTATAAACGCACAACAGTTATCGTCTCTTTGAAGTCGAGTCGAAGAAATCATTCTGAAAGTGATTCTAACAATATGAGTCCTATATATTGTAGTAGTTGTGGTGTGGACTCTTAGAGTCCTATTCCTATTCCTACTCTTAGTGTTCTATATGAATCCTATTCTCTTGGAGTTAGAACCATTTTTATAACAATATAATTATAGTTACCATTAAAATTATTGTCATTGGTGTGAATGGGCCTTTATTCCCTTGTATTAAATTTTCCAACACTACATTTTCATAGTACCATCAAGATCCAGAGCATTGCTGAGCATTTCATAACTTTTTGGTTGTCCAGAGTGGCAGTGTCGAGACCAGCTCATTCTGAGTCTGAGTCCAGACCAAAACCTGAGTAGGTTGAGTCAGAATCAAGACAGAGACCAGAAGAAGGTTGAGTCCAATTCAGACTTTGGGGTGAACAGAGCCTGGTTTTTGTGAATTGTATGCGTGAGTTGGAACAGACCACAAAATGTTTCCACAGTGTTCAAGTACTCAATACTGGACTCAAGACATAGTCCAGATGCTCCAGAGTAGCCTACATGACAAGACCAAGAGCATGAGAATGTGGTCTTGGACTCGGACTGAGATGAACAGAGTCTTGGCTCAAGTACCTCAAGTGGGTGCTACGGCATTGTTAGTTGGTTTTTAGGGTGTTATCTGTGGTTGCTTACTAGTCTAAGTCAAAAGAGCCTGTCACAATGTGTCTAGGATATTCTCTATATGTGGCTCAAGTGCTTCCTGTATGTGGCTCAAGTGTAAGTGAAAGATTTAGCTTGGTTTATTGCCGCCTCGCAGATCACTGAGGAAAGCAATAGCACCTCTCTTCAACAAGTGAAACCAAACCCTTTTCGCTTGTTTTGACAAACCCTTAACCCTAAGGATGGCAAATAGTAATAGTGATGCAAGCAGCACTAATTAGAACTATCAAGTTGTTGACTGATCTACACATTAACTACAATGCTTGTTCATTATTATCTCTGTCTTGTAGGGGGGATCCGAACAAAAGTGACATCTGGGGGAACACGCCTTTGCATCACGCCTCTGCAAACGGTCACATGCAGATCGTCAGCTTCTTGGTGAACTTTGGAGCCAACCTCTTCGCTCTGGACAATGACTTCCACACTCCCATGGACGTGGCTGCCTCTCGAGACCACATGGACTGCGTCCGCTTCCTGGACACCGCTGCCGCCCAACAGACAGGCCAGAACGCCAAAAGGGTGGCGCGTCTGAAAGAACAGGCCACCAAAGATGCCGAGCGCAGAGTGAAGCAGTGTGAACGTGTCAAGAAGAGACATCAGAATAAGATGGACAAGATGTACCGCAGCGGATCTGTCTCGGAAGGAAGTTCCCTTTCCAGCTCGGGTACCTTGAGCAGCGTGAACGGAGAACAGTTCTCCAAACTCATAGCCGCAGACACCAACGGATCGATCTCTTCAACGATCAAGGGAACCCTCCAGCGCAAATTTGGGAAGAAAGACAAAGAGACAGTGAGTAGACAAGGGGACGGCAATGTAATTTTTGTCAAACAAGACAGCGGCTCCAAAGAGAAACCTGGTTTTGTTGACGTCTTCAGTGAGCAGGATGAAATTCAGGATGATGATGATGACGATGCCAAGAGAGATTCAGACAACGAAGGAGCCAGTCAGGGCAAGTCTATTTTCGAAAGACCTGGTCTTGGGAAAATGGTGTTCCGCAGGAACTTCTCCATGGAAATGGCCATGGACCATGAAGACCTCCCCAGCGGCAATACAGAAGACCTAGGGTACCTCATCCGTCAAGAGTTGTTTGAGACTGTGGAAGAAGTTCTGGAGGGTTTGGACGAGAATTCAGAGCTTCCTTGGAATGAAGAGGAGATCGGTCTGGATGAGGAAGAGGAGGCCTCACACTTGGATTCCTTCTTGGCGTCAATTGGCCTGTTGGACTACGGTCCTGTGTTCACCCGTGAACACCTGGATCTTGACGCCCTCATGCTTTGCTCAGATGACGATCTTAAAGGCATCCGCATCCAGCTGGGGCCGCGCAAGAAGATCCTGGAAGCGTCGGCTCACAGGAAAGCTGTGCTGGAGCAGCCTGGCGTTATGAAGGACACCTTCCTTTAATAACGTGCACCACTCAATCCTGCCATACACAAACATTCACAGTTTCTCTCCACTGACACCCCTTTGTCATCATGTAGTGGTTTCATAGCTCACTTTCTGTGATTTTGAAGATTGTATGAAGAAACACAGCAGTTAAAAATGTCCTTATTGTAGTAAAATAAGTTTAATCTCCAAAACAAACATCTGACTTGTATGAGAATCAACCATTTTTTCCCAAGAACATGTTGATTGTTTTCATCTTTCAAATTAAAGTATCTTGCATATATCTAAATAAACACTGTTCATGTCTAGAGGTCATGCCTATCTATCTATCTATCTACGTATCTATCTATCTATCTATCTATCTATCTATCATCTATCTATCTGTCTGTCTGTCTGTCTGTCTGTCTGTCTGTCTGTCTGTCTATCTATCTATCTATCTATCCCTGAACACATTCTTCGACACATAATATATATGGTATGGCATTATAATTTTTTAATGTCTAATGACAGATTAAAACAGATACAAAAAGAGAGGCATTAATTCGGCAGTAACTTCATCTCAGATAATGCATTTGAGACGTAGCGACTAACGTCTGCAGCTCCATAACCATGTGAAGCAGCCGCAGGTCCTTCGAGGAGACAATAAATAGGACAATTAGTTGAAAATACACTGGACAAAAGTATTGGGACACCCCCTTCTAATGAACAGGTTTGACTACTTTAGTAATGAGTACAAATCTTAATGTTTAAGCATATAATGCTATTCTGGGGAATTGTGTGCTTCTAATTTTATAGCAACAGTTTGGCGAGGACCCTTTTCTATTCTAACATGACAATGCCTCTGTGTATGAGGCAAGGTTCAAAAAGAAATGATTGATTCAGTCAGTGTGGAAGAACCTGACTGGTCTGCAAAAAGCCAGCTGAACACCTCTGGTGTGACTTTAAATGCAGACCTTGAGCCAAAAACTCACCAAACACCTGTGACTTGTACATATATGGGCACAGTCATTTTAGACACTTCCAAAACTGTTGCAACAGTGATGGAAATACAATTTTTAAATACATGAATTATGTTTCCATCTTTGTTGCCACAGTTTTGGAAGTGCCCTTTTCTGTTCTACAGAAGGGGGCGTCCCAATACTATTGTCCATATAGTGTACATCAAGTACACAGTTGACAACTGAATACATGCACAATAGTACATACTTTCTTTTTCTCCTGGACTTCTTTTCCATCGCACTGGTGTTGACGGCTCCTTCAGAGGTCTGTTCTAGATGTGAGACTAGAGGGGCGTTAGAAACAACAGCTGTATTTCATTTCAGCAGTTTCTGGTAGTTTGTGCACTGTGTATTTTGGTTTGACTGTCAGAAAAATGTAACGAGAAAACCTTGCACAGTCTCCTGCACTGATGCTACTGCTGCTGCTTCTTCCACTGAAATCTTCAGTACTTCCTCTTCAACAAGCTCTTTCTGGAGGGCCTCCTCTGGATTTAGGCTGCAGTTCTCCTTTTGCAGGGCTGGAACAGTCCTTTGGTTTTTCACATCGTCTTCCTTTATCTCCTGAGGGGAAAACTTCCAGTGAAGTACTTCCTGCGCAGCCTGCAAATGCTACTGAAAGCAAAGAAAAGATCTCATTCCATTCGAAACAGATGCAATGAATTACTTGAAACAATATAATGACAAGTTGAACCAATAGGAAGCTTATAGCAGCCGTTTGAACCCTGTATGACTTTCTTTCTTCTGTGGAACACAAAATAAGATTTTGAAGAATGTCCCTCTTGTCTATACAAAGAAAGCCATTGGAACTTGTTGACTTTTATTGTATGGACAAAAACATTCGTTACAATATCTTAATTTGTCTTCAACAGAAGAAAGAAAGACATACAGGTTTGGAACAACTTGAAAGTGACAGAATTCTGACAGAATTTACATTTTTGTGTGAAATATGACTGTAAAGTATCGTTATATATGCCTGATTAAGTGTCTAAGTTAATAGTTTTCAGCCAAATAAAATGTAGTCAATGGTCTACCTTTAAATTTAGGACTAGCACAGTTGTGTTAGGGAAAACCCTTATGAAAAAGAAGTTTATTCAAGTGTGCTATTAGTATACTTCTTTTAAACTAAAAATAGGAAAGTATACTTTTAGTCTACTTTTTATGTACTTCTCAGAAATGGGCTTTATGTACTTCTCAGAAATATACTTAAAATGACATTTAAGTATACTTGACTTATAGCCTACTTAGAAAAAGTCTAAATATATATGAGCTATACTCGTGTTCCTAATCCGTGTTTTCATTGTTATACTGTAGGGGGCGCTAGTACACACCTTCTGTACAGAATGTCCAAAAAACACAAGTGAAGAAGAAACCGAAACAACAGATGCTTCCACATCATTAGACATAAAACAGCATCAAAACTGTGTAACATCGATGTAATGTCGACCAATGAAGAGGTAATAAT